GCAAAACATGCACATAAGGTCCTCTTTCAAAATATCCATATAAAAGAAAAAGAAAATGGATTCTTCTTCTTTATATTTTTTAATGTTGCCTTTTTTATTATTGTTTTTTTTTCTTTTTTGGGGGTGGGGGTGATTGTATTGTTTGTTAAAACCTCTAAAATTGCAATGTTTAGTTGAAACTTGAAACATAAATTGCTCCAACTCTAAAAATATCTTGAAATACCTATGATATCCATATCCATCACATTTTCCGATATGAATATAGAGATATGATCCTCTAATGAAATTTCAAATACATGGAAAACCTTTTTTTTAAAAATGAATATACCCATCTTGAACACATCCACACCTGACCCTCACATCTAAGCCCAGTTGCCAATTAACATAGGTGAAACTGTAGTGGATCAACCAGTGTTAAATTTTCTTATGCTTTACCCTTATTCCCACTTACATGGCTAATTTGTAACTACATACTACACCTTTTCCAAAATTAAAATGGAACTATGCTGGCATAGGATGTAAAACATGTTTGAACAGACAAGATTTACTAGCCAAGTATAAATTAAAAAGTTTAAATAAAAGCAGTGAAAAGCTACCTTTTGAAGTGCAATAGGGACTGCTTTGGATTTTGAATATCCAACAACACCATGATAGTTTCCACACGCCAACAAAGCGGCGTACTTGACCACTTGCCCTCCCTGGACAATATCAACTTCGGATGTGCTTCATGGAAATCAATTTAACGACAAAACAAATTCAAATGAAATAAAGGTCTATCAACCTCATATCAAAACCCTGCCATCATTCAACAAAAACCAAGTTAGTTACATGCAAGATGAAACTGTTTGAAAAATAAAAACTTGTAACTTGAAACGATACAATGCAAATATATATCATCAAATGAGTCATACTTGTAATGCTTAAAGTTGTATTAAAAATCAATGTACATACCCATAAAGGAGGGGAGTCAGAACGCAATGAAAAACAATGAATATGTCGATTCACATAATATAGAGAATATGATGAATAAATTTCTCAATGTTATAACCTATTTTAATGACTAAAGGGAGTCAAAGAGGAGAACTACAAATACCAGACCTGCCTATGAAAAACATGAATATGAATAATATATATATATATATATATATATAAGAAAATGTAAGAATAATATTAGCTTAGAATTCTGTTCCTCAACCATTTCAAAAATAACTGATTTGTTTGACCTTTGAAGCAAAATAAATGAAGGAGCTCTGGTATACACTTACCTTTTTGTAAAGAGGTCTTATTTTCTTTTTTGTCAAAGAATTTCTTTCATTCGCAAGGTTCTTTCCTTAGCAAGGTCTCTGATTTCCTCCTCTAGCAGTTTTCCCTTCCAGCTGAATGTATAATCCAACTCTACTAGATTCTCTTCCAGTTTCTTGTCAATAGCATTGATCTTCTTTGATAGTATGTTATCCTTTCATGTCATCAAATTCTTCTTTATCCTCATCCCTACTAGCTTTTCTTATTATTTTCTTCTCATTCTCCTCTTCAGCTTCTTCCTCACGATCAACAGAAGGACCAACTTGATAATCCTTCATAATTCCATAATTGGCAGGATTATTAGGATCGTAGGCTTCCTTCCATTGAAGGAGCCTCATTGCCCTATTCAATTTTGGCTTAAGGATAAATTTCTCCTTGCCTTCTGTAACTTTAAGTAGATTCATCAAGTCACCAATGGCCCTATATTCAGGGCGAAGTTTAAAATGCTTTTCCTCAAACTTATCAATTTTATTCATCCATTTAAAAGCATCATCTAGTGTCACTGTCAAATTCAAAAATGTAATTTAACAATGGACCAATTGATAAAATTTCATAAATATCACTTACAAATCAAAATTTTAGCTGCAATTAATGTATACATATCATTTTTGTGTTTTTTGTCGATATAAATTTTGAGACGTTCATGAATTCCTGTGGCAATGGAGTTTTTTTGTTTGAGTGTTTCATTTTTCTCGATAGAGTGTCAAATATTGTCAACTCTAGTGTGTTTGAGTGCAATAAGCATTCTACACAATCTGCACCCATATACATGTTATACTAGCATTAGTAAGCGTAAATAAGCAACGCAACAACTAAAACAAGGCTTGTTCATTTACTTGACTCGTAGAAGTTCTTTATAAACTGCTTATGCATCTTTTGTTTCCTCTCAAATTAGTTTTCCCACGTCTCCTAATTCCCCTCATCCTCGTTTTCAAAATTTGAATCCATGCGCTGCTCAAATGCTATACGAAAATTCTTTTCCTTTAACGCCCTCTTTTCAAGCTTCTCTATCAGTGGCATAACACCCATATAATCTTCTTTGTCCTCTTCATCAATATCCTTTTCATCCAAACCTTTTCTCTTCCTATCCTCTTTTTCTTGCTGCTTCTCGAGTTCTATTTCAGCAAATACATCAGCCAAAAGATCATCATCGCGTAGCTCGTCGGAAGAGAAGTCTCTAGAGAAATGCCATCTCGTAAAAGAAAGTGGAGATTTTGGCGTTTGATTGTAGCGGAAATAGGAAAAGTTTGAGATACTTCGGCGGAATGAGAAATGGGGTTTAATGGGGGGTTTTAGGGATACGATTTGAGTAATGGGTGTTCGGTAAAATATTCGTAGAGATTTCCCATGTAAAAGAAAGCAGAGTTTTATATGGGTATTGAAGGGACTGGAAAAGGAACCTAAATCATGAAGATGACTGTGATTTTTGTTGACATTTTTCTTTTCCATTAGCTTAACAAACGGGAAATATAAACAAACCTGGAAAAAGAAAAAATAAGAGAGAAAATATGAGATAAATTTTTGCGATCAGGTAGCTTTGAAAAAGAAACGAAGGAGACAGAGCAAGGATCAGTAGGATCGAAAACAGAAAATGCAATATAACAGAGTGAAGCAGAGGTAGCGAACCGAGCTAGAACTCCAAATCTGAACACCAAATCGAAGAAGAAGCATATTTTCTTTCAGCCAGAACCAAGCGAGGAGAAGAGTGTTTTAGACAACAGGGACCGGGAATAAGAAAATACCTAAGAGAAATGGGGGACTGATATTCCCGGGAAAACAGGAAAAAAAATACTACTGTTGGTGTTCATCCTTTACCTGCACCTGGGAATGTAGCCCATCCAAACATGGGTATCATTACCCGTAAAAAAATATTCCTCCCATGAATAAAATATGACGTGAACCAAACGGGACCTAAATGTTTATCTCACATTCTTCGAAAACGGCCATTTTCCCCTTTTTCATTTTGTTATGAAATTTTTAAACAATAATAAGTAAATAGAAAATGAACGATTTTAGTTATATTTTAGAATTTTATTTTATTTATCCTAATACTTAATTTAAAATAAATATTTATATTATATTTTTAAGTATTTAATTTTTTTTTATCATAGTAGATATTTAATTTAAAAGTTTATTTTATCACCACCTTAATACTTATTTGCATTAATTATTTGGGCTTTTGGTTAGGCCTGTAAATGAACTGAACGTTCAGCGAACCGTTCATGAACCGTGCGGCGGGAAGTTCGTTTATGTGCGTTTATTTATTAAATGAACGAACATGAACAAGATTTTTTGTTCGTTTAATTAAATGAACGAACATGAACATAGGTCTCGTTCGTTCATTTATGTTCGTGAACGTTCGGTTATGTTCGTTCGGTTATGTTCGTTTATGTTCGTTCGATTATGTTCGTTTATGTTCATTCATTTATGTTTAACCCAATCTTCTTAAATCAATTTTGGTGACTAATTTGTAAGTATCTTAAAAATATTAATTAATATGATATTCTGATGACCAACTCCATAATTAATCCAATTTTATTTGGAGATTAAATCCAATATGTTAACCTGTGAGGCACCTCGCACCTATATTCATTTCCCATTTTTTTTCCCAAACCCTAGTGTTCACTAGAGAGTGGAGACGATCGCTGAAAGCTTCAAAACAAGTTATATTATAGTGCAATATGAAGTTTTACATGTTTGTTTTCATCTCTTTCTCTGTTTTATTTGACTTAATAGTTAATATGTAAAGTTATTGCAGGTATCTTCACATCTAAAACTCAAGAAAACATCATACTTCTTTCTAGAAATAGATAGGAATATAAAGGTAACAATCGGAAGTATACGAGCATCAATAAAGAGAAAAATATATAGAATTTGCCAGAAAACAAAACAAAGGTTTCTATGCAATTTCTGAAAAAGAGTGTAATAGGAGAAAATGATTGTTCATATGTAATCATGGACCACTAAGATAAATGTTATAGCGTTAAATTAAAGTTGTGTGAATCATTTAATATCTTTAAAAGATCGATCGAAATATTTGATATCTTCAAACATTTCATCACTGTTAATCAACTCTTACGCTATTTATCACTGTAGATTTGGTTGATTTGCATTGTCGACTATTTTTCATGAAAGAACAATGGAAGGTAGGGTCTCCAACGTTTATGTTCGTTTATGTTCGTGTTCATTTATGTTCGTGTTCGTTTATGTTCGTGTTCGTTTATGTTCGTTTATTTATTAAATGAACGAACATGAACAAATTATATTCCTTAATAAACGAACATGAACAAAAAATATTTTGTTCGTTTATGTTCGTGTTCGTTTATGTTCGTCTATTTATTAAATGAACGAACAGGAACATACCTCCGTTCGTGTGCGTTCGGTTCGTTTACAGGCCTACTTTTGGTTAGTCAAGTCTGCACTACACCTTGATAAACAGCCCAGCCAATGGCAAATTGGAAATTAACGAAACATATTAGTGTCAAAAAAGGAACACAAACCATAGCTGGAAAATCTAGATAGGGTCGAGAGAATTCGAGCAACGCGGCAAGAGCAACCAGAATCTGCCACGTCATTTACTTAGCCTAGAAAATAATAATATAAAAATAAAAATATCTTACCAACAGAAATATTTAAATATCCGATACTCGATTGCTGAATTCTTCTGGTTCAGTTTCTTGAAAGGGAAGAGAAAACAGAGTTCTTCACAGAAAAAAATTAACACTTTCTCAGACTCAAAGATTACTAGAGAGAGAAAAAAGCACAAAAAATAAGGCTTTCGGTCTTCTTGATACTTCCGGTTATGTTCTTCATACAGGTTTGTTCTCATTTCCTTTCTGGGTTTTATGGTTTTAATTTCCGATTACAAATTTTCTTACTTGTTTCCCAAGAAAAAAAATAATTCTTTGTTACTCTTGTTAACTAGAAGTTAATTTCGATATTGAATTTGAATGAAATGCAGATTTCCATAGTTCTGAAGAAAGCAAAATATGGGTTTTTGTGAGAATCGAAATCCAAATGTGGGTACCCCCTCCGTTCACGGATTCTTGTAGAAAAAGGAAGAGGAGAGATGGTTTATCAGTAGCCGATACTCTGAAACAATGGAGTGAGAATTGGGAGACAAAACGAGCGCTTAAGGCCCCTGCAAAGGGCTCCAAAAAGGGGTGTATAAAAGGCAAAGGAGGCCCTCAGAACCAAGCTTGTATCTACAGAGGCGTTGGGCAAAGGACTTGGGGTAAATGGGTGGCTGAAATTCGAGCTCCTAATAAAGGGAAACGACTCTGGCTCGGTACTTTTCCCACAGCCTTGGAAGCTGCTTTAGCCTACGATCAAGCCGCCATGACCATGTATGGCGATAAAGCCATCTTAAATAATCCCCTTGTTTCGGTTACGAGTTCGGAGGCTACGTTGGTTACTCGTGCCAACTCCGACTCGATGACTGCATCGAGTTGCTCTGAAATCTACGGTGGAAATGTGGGCGGCGATGTGATGGATAATGCGACTACGACCGGAGATGTTGTTGATGCGAGCAATGGTGAAGACAAAGCGAAAGAGGAAGGGAAAGTAACAGAGGACGAGTCCATGGAAGAGATGGATTATAGTTGGCTTAATGGATGATGTCTCGTTGAATGACTTAGGGAATAGTGTATGGGGTGGTGGACCGTTTTTTAGCGAGGACGAGTGTTTTGATATAAACGAGCTTCTGGTTGACTTGTAGATTAACTTTCTTTTATACATATTTTTACACGTTATATAACAAGTGTAATGTATATTTAATTTAAATTTTGATTTATTCATGATTAATTCGAATTAGATATTTAAAAAACTGCTAAATTATTGTAATCATGGAAGTCCCTTTCTGAAGCTTTCATGGAGTTTCAAGATTGGAGCAATTTTGGAGAAATGATAAACTGGACCGATTGCTGCGTAGTCCTTAACTTTATTAAATTTTTTTTTTACTTTTTTCTATTTGGAAACATCCTTGAATAGAGTGGATATCTTTGAGGATATACCATTGAATGGAGGATGGAATAGTACATGAGATGCTGGATGCTATTCTAGTGAAGATGGGTGCTTTATAAAATGCTTCTTCCTTGACTCTTACGGTTAATATTTTCGTGGTAGTTTGTAGGACATGTCATGTCAAACGCCAGACAAACAATTGTCTATTTGTTTTAAATGTTGTTGAGAAAGAAGGCAATTTGAAGGTTGGTTTCATTGGTAAAGAAAGCTAAACCATTTCCCAGATCAAACCGTCACACTTTTCTGTTTCTTTAGTTAAGAGTTTACATGTAGAATCTATCAATTGTAAGGTTAGAAACTGGAGACTTCTTTAAACACACGTGCATGCTTACCAAAACTTTACATTGGAAGTCCATCAATTTTCTATTATAAGCATCGATGAATTGGAATAATTTCAGAGAGCTATTATGAACGGAAAAAGATAAAATAATCTAACATAATCTGTATGGCAAAAAAAAGGGGGGAGAAGAGACCTATTTAAGTGGAACGAGTATCTCGTATTCTCGTGTATTACACGGGCGAAAGACAGGTCAAGTTATAAATAAGATATTTAATTTTAAATATCTAACACTTATAATAAGCCGACCTTAGCTCAGATGGTAGAGCGGAGGACTGTAGTGGGTTTCCCTCATGGCCATCCTTAGGTCGCTGGTTCGAATCCGGCAGGTCGGATGTTCACTTTTTTTACTTTTTACTTTTATTTTCTCACCAAGGATGTGTATAATTTTTTTGATTCTCTCTTGGTTATTTCATTCACCGTCCGACTACTTTCAGTTACTACTAAATATTTTTATGAAATTTATTCTGTCTTCTTGAATGTGAATTTAATATCCATTTAATTAAAAATACCATTCACAAATTTAACGTTATTTAACTGTATATTTTCTAGTTTTTTTGCTAATTCTTTTTTAAAAAATTTCTTTTCAACACGATATTCGAAGAACATTTCTTTATTTTGTTGTTGGGTTCATACATTCCATACGTTGAATATTTCTTTTCAATTATTTCGCTTTTTGGTTTATAATTTTTACCTATTTCATTCTTCACCTTCATCAATAAATTTTATCTTTCGGCGATGGTTTGGATTTAAAATTTGAGTTTATTTTTCATATTTCACTATAATTTAAGTTTCATTTTGTTTATATTATAACTTGTTTACGACAATAAAAAGTATATTAATTTTGAAAGTAAATAAATACAGCTATGAAACGAGTTTGAGGTGGTGGGATAGTTATTCTATTCGAATAATTTTCATGAGCAAATTTACTTTTTAAGTGGAAACTTTGATCAACTACGTTGTATCACCTTTAAAATAATATTATAATAACAATAATATTTTCTGAATTAATATTGCATTTTTTTTTATTGAAACCAACTAGTTTTATTAAAAGTATGAAATATTCATAATTACAATGAAGATTTACGATCATAAACGTAAACTAAAATATAATTATGATATTTTCTTATAATCATTGACACAAAAACTAACTACCTAAATCACAAAGATAAAAAAAAAGAAAATGATAAAAAACTAACAAGAAAATTTGAAAAAAATAAGGATACGAACAAATCTGGCTACATTCGTAAACGAACCACAAAAGGGGGATGAAACTACTGAAATATCACTGACAAATCGTAAATCAAATCCACGAATGCAAAACGAGTATATCCACATCAATCTAAGGATCCAAAGTAGGGAAGATCAACATAATTACAAATAAGCGTCATCTTGATCAATCATGACGATTTCAAATCCAACCCTGAGAAAAAAGATAAACGAAAACAATGGTCAAACGACCAAAAACTATCAAAAGGCAAATAAAAACATGCCACAAAGACAGAGATAAACGTACCATAAAGACATAGATAACTTGTCACAAAGACAAAAACTTAATGGCATAAACTTCCTCGACTGGATCCATTTCCCACTCGTAGGTCTGCATCTTCTTTAGCCATATTCATTCTCTTTTGTAGTTCCTGTATAGTAGTACAAATATGAGAACCATAATCTGTATCTAATACCCAAGAAGTAGATGTTGACAAATTAAAATTAATAACATAAATACATGAAATAAACGTTCCGTTTGTTTTTGCCTTCTTGACCTCTTCAAGGTAAACGTGACATTTTCTCTTCCAGTGTCTGGTCTTGTCGTAAACATTTTCCTTCCTTGCTAACTCCCCTTTGAGTTTCAATGCATCTTTTCCTTTGGGTTTGGCCTTACTATTGCCCTTAGACTTTGCCACTATCTTTTTCTTTTCCTTTCCTTATCCTTGCCAAGTAACATGCCAAGTAACTGTGGAAAAATTTTGTTAATTTCATGTTACTTTCATGTTACTTTCAGCAATTCGTAACATGCCAAGTAACTGTGGAAAAATTTTGTTAATTTCATTCATGTTGAAATTAAGGACAAATTGGTTGAAGCTATCCGACAAATATTGCAGGATAACATCGGTAGGCAATTCATCTTTGAGAGGAAATCTCTGCTTTTCCAACGTTTGGATGTAGCCCATCATTTTGATGACACGAGCTCCTACAAGAGATCCCTCTACCATTTTGCATTGGAATAGAGTTTTAGAGGTCTCATACCTCTCTTGACGTGCTTGACCCTCATATATTTCCTTGAGATTTTGAATCATCTTATATGCAACCATGTCCTCATGTTGCTTCTGAAGCTAAGAAGTTATGGTGGCAAGCATTAGACATCCAACGTCTAACATATCATACATATGTTTCTTAAACTTGTCTTTGTCAGCTCTAGAAGCATTAGCTGCCGATTCATCAGGAACATCTTCAATGACATATTTCTTCCTTTCCTGTTTGAGAACAATTCTCAAATTACAGAACCAGTCAAGGAAGTTTATGCCATTAAGTTTCTCCTTCTCAAGGAGCGATTGCAATGATATTGTTGTTTGCCATTAAATCTACAACAATGGAAATATTTAAAGTAAGTAAATTTATCGAATTTAAAATTTATTCTTATTAAAAAACTAAAAAAGAAACAAAGAGAAAAACAGTCGGCGGTCGACAACTAGTATTAAAATCAGTGTTACTGTTGATTAAAGAAAATTAAAGAAGAAAAGGTTGATTTGATCTATAGAAAATGACATAAAGTGTAAATGAAAGAAAGAATGTATTACATTCTTTTCTAAAAAACTAATATCCTAAATTACATAATTATAGATTAATAGCATCACACATAATAGCTTGATGGATAAAATTTGGATAATCATGCTTCCTAAACAAATCATCCTCGTTCGCTAAACTATATCTAGCGATTAAATTAGCCACTTCGTTCCCTTCTCTTTCGATGTGGTGAAAATAACATTCTTCAAGTGTTCCCATCACCCTTTTCCCTTCATCAACTATACATCTTAACTGAGATCCATAGTCAACATCCTTGGTCAATAATTTGCTTAAAATCCTAACAGAGTCACTTTCTAATATAACCCGCCGGTACCCATTAACTACCTTGGAGTCTCACTTTTGCATAACAGGGTTACTACTACTACCTATAGGTACCTAATTGAGAGGATGAAACAACACCTATCGGGTTAGGCAGCCTGAACTTTATCTTCGGTCGGTCGCATTTCTCTTGCAAAATTTGTGTTGCAGGCAATTTTGTATTACGCAATGCAATCCTCGTGGCTCTCAAAAGGTGTTTGTGACACTTTAGAAAAACTTGCTTCGGTTAAATGGGATATAATTAAGTAACCAGTAGAGGATGGTGGGCTGGGCTTTAAAGATTTAGATCGTCAGAACAAGACATTCCTTATGAAAAATTGGAAGGCATTTGGTCGAGGATACTAATACACTGTGGGTTCAAGTCCTCAAGCATAAGTACAGTTGATGTGGTCATGTCCCTGAAAATATTAACCATCCGCGGTTTTTCTCGAAGCCTACGTGTATGCTCAGATTTAAATGTGGAGCTATGGGCGATCCATGATGCTTTAACTCATACCTGGAACTTAGGAATAAGAACAATTATGGTGGAAACGGATAGTGCGATGGCGGTGAAACTTATCAACTGAACATATACTAGAGATACAAAATACCATCGTTTTGTTGATTTGTGAGCTATTAATGTAACACTCTAAACGAGTATGACACACAGTCGGTCGATCAGAATGCCACACGGAACCACCAGAGTGGCTAACCAAAATTTTCTTTTAAGTTTTTCCATTTTAAAAGTGAATATTTATAATCACTCATACTAAAATAAATCAACTATAATTTAAATAAAATAGTTTACATTAGGAGCTCCCAAAATAATATTTAAATCATACAAACCATAGTTTAAAATGAGTTGCGACTCATACAAAAATATATAAATCGGGGTTTATAATTGTATATGCCCTCTAAAGGTGAACTCGAGACGTACACTGCACTATCGGGGTCTGGATCACTACTGTAAAAAAGTCTTTGGACTGCTCTTCGACTAACCTACGTAAGGAAACAAAATTTCAAACGCTGAGCTAACTAGCCCTATGCCACACTAACAGCTAAGCCATACTAAAAGTGTTCATGTCATGCTCAAGCTAACTGATAATTATAATAGTGAGTATATTCGTATACTGCACTCTCTACTCTATGGTAGACATCATGGCGCGGTTGAGGGTTCTGCAT